CCCAGGCCCATCCTGCCCCCACCCACCCCCAAGGTGGAGATCACCCCAGAGCCGGTGTCAGTGGTGGCTGCTGTCGTGGACCGGGCCATGGTAGCAGCCAGGGGGGTGATCATTGCCCCTAGGAGTGAGGAGGGGGCTCTCCGGCCATCCCCAGCCCCCCTTCTTCCCCATGACTCCCCCCCACACAAGAGAAGGAAAGGTTTTCCTACACGGAAGAGGCGGGGGCGATGGAAATCTCCGTGAATCTGCCATTGGGTTCAAGCTTGTCTTCGCTCCTTCTGCCTGCACCTCCTCTCCCAGCTTAGCCCAGTGGAGGAGGGCCATGCACCTTCCCCATGCCAGCCGCACCCTGGCTTCCTGCTGCAGGGGCGTGAGCACCCCACTCCCTGTACTAGTTAGTGCCTGATTCGCAGGGGGGCCTTGATGGGCTCCCCAGCCCTTTCTCCAGTACAGCGCTGTCTGCCTGGCTGCTTCCCTTAACCCTGACTTCTAAGCCATCAATTTTATGTTATTTATTATTGCCCTTTGTGGGTTGTGGAGGGAACCTCGTGGGTCTGTACATAACCCCCTTCCCTAACCACTCCTGGTCTTGACTTGAAGAGAATTGACTTTGTGAGGGCCTCCTCACCTCCCCAACCCAGACTTTGGAGGGAATGGGGGTTGCAAGACAAATCAGAATATGGATGATAATGAGGATACAGCAGTCTGGACCCTAGAGAGGGGGTCAAGTTCTCATTGGGGAGGTATAGGTTGGGCCCCCTGCCTCCCATTGCAGTCTCTGACCTCCAGAGCTCAACCCCCTCCTTTCTCAGTGATGAAAAGATATCAATAAACTTATTTTTAATACAATTACTCTGGGCTCTGGCTGAGACAGGCCTGGGATTCCAGCACCTACATCTGCCCCGCCCCTCCATGGACAGGTGACACCCCCTTGAAGTTGGAGGCTGGTGGTTTTCCAGCCTTTTTTAAATTGTCCTTAAAGCCATCAAGTGTGGTGTTCAAGCCTTATTCAGATACCACCAAAATGCCATCTCCAGGAAAACATCCAGGATTCCCTCCCCAGGCTAGGAGGGGTCTGCTTCTTAGATTCCCTGTGTCCTGTGGTTCTTTTTTGTAGTGTCCCCAAATGAAGTGCCTTTGTTTAAGGCATATTTCCTCCATAGTTCATGAAGATGGGCTGGTTCTCTACTCCCAAACCTGCTGCAGGGCCTGCAGCAAAGTAGATAACCAGCACTCTAGATTCAGACCTGGCCCAGCCCCTCATGCTGCCCTAGCCAGCTGTGTGACCATGGGCCTCCATTGTCCTCATTGCAAAGGGGGCCTCTTTTGGTTTAGGAGTCTAATTCCTACAACTAGATTCTGTTTATCTTTTCAGGTTTCAGCTCAAATATCATCTCAGGAAAGCCTTTCCACAGACAGACAGACACACACACACCACCACCACCACCACCACCCCCAAGCAGTTACTGAAAAATGCAGTTAAATAGTTATTTGAGTACATTTGAATTGAACGTCTGCCTCCGTCACCAGGCCAAGCCTTGTCAGGACAAGGCCTGAGCCTATCTTAGTCACTGCTGTGTCCTCAGCATTGCCCAGCGAAGAGGGGTTGAATCTTTGAAATAATGGTCACTTTAAAAACAAAAACTTCCATTTATGATGCTTCATTTCTAGGCCAGTAATCATACTTAGCATTTATATACCTGTTTCCATTTTAACCTGAAGGTACCCAGTGAAAAGCAGAATCTTGGGGTCTCCATTTTTTTCCTGAGAACTTCAGGAATTTTCCTTTAAACTTGTCCAGCCAAGCCATTCCACTTGAAGCCAGCCTCTGGCCAGAACTCTACTCCCGCTAGTGTTTTATTAAAGAACAGTCCAAAGAACGGTATCCTTTTCAGTGATACACAGATGGCCTTTTTAATGGTTCTGTATGTAGTTTTTTAACCTCACCCCCAATTTTGTAAAAATGTAGCTAGAACATAAAACCCATGATTGTGCACATAACATTGCTTAGGATGAGGCAAAAGTAGGTATATCTTTCACAGGATGTTAAAAGATACAGGTGGGTAACAAAATCAGCTGCTATGGTTGCAGCGTAATGAGGGAGGTGGGTAGGCAGCCCTGATTAGCTTGAAAAAACACTAATGAATGCCACTCTGACAAGATAAATATTTCTTAACGTGAACCCAGGCCTAAAAGAGGAAGAGGCTGATGTGGGTTAGAACTTGGGGACCTGTCTTTCCGGCCCCAGTCCACCTTGCACTGCACCCGATATGGGAATTAAAAAACATAAGGGTCTCCAGAGCCTGGTTGGGCCTATCAGGTAGTAAGCACTCTTAAGGTTGGAGAAAGGTGGTCTGGTGCTAGCTCTCCTACAGAAACGACGCCCACCTCAACTCTTGCTTGCCAGCTCTGGCCTCCTTTCCTTCCCCCAAATTAGGGAGCAGTAGAGGGTGGCGATCCCCTCAACTCTGTGCTTTGAAAACAGGGGAAGAGCCCCCAGAAATTAACCAGTGTGAGGGTCGGGCGTACGACTGGCGGCAGGAACCGGGAACCCCCCCCCGCCCCGCCGCCAACCTCCCAGACAGCGGAAGTGCGTCAGTTTCTTCGCCCCGTAGAGCATTTTGGGAATTGTAGTGAAATTAGGGGGCGGAGAAACTGGCAACGTAACCCTTTGGAGACCAGAGTGCGCTCGCAAAGCTGGAACTGAGTTGAAGGGTGTTCGACCACTCCCTTTAGCAGATGGGGCAACTGAGGCAGAGTCCCGGCCCAGGGCTTTTAGTCCTCTCTTTTCTCCGGCTATTGCCGGCCCGGGTCAAGTCTGATACCCAAGATTCTAGGGAAGACGTAGTGCCAAGTAAACCCTCACCACCACCACCACCACCAAACTGCCGGCTGCCTGTCCCCTACCCAGAAACCATCCAATCAGGGTCCCTCCACTCCGCCCCCGGAGCGGCTGCCTTCCTAACCGGTCATTGGCCTACTTTTGATGGGAAGGGGAACAGCCTCAGAGAGGGCAAGATTTTTGCTTAAAGCTGCACAGCAAGTCGGAGCAGAAACTGGGCGCCTGGAAGCCTGTCCACCCCATACAATGTCTGAATCCGTGGTAGTTCTGACCATTCGTATCACATCTCCGCCTCCAACCCTTGCGTCCGAACTCTTCGGAACGCGCCAAACTCCTGCCTTTGGCGAGGATTGGTAAGGGTGGCGCTGCAGAGAAGCGGCGTGCCCCTCCCACCTTTCCCTTCCCTGGCTGCCTGCCTGAGGTCCCCTTTAAGAACCGGCCCCGGCGGGACTACGTTTCCCAGAAGGCTTTGCCGGTGCGTTATGTAACTTTCCCTGCGAAGCGGCCTCTGGGGCAGAAGGAGGTGGAGGCGGCGGCGGCCGTTGCAGCGGCGGCGGCGGCGGCAGCGGCGGCGGGAGCGGCGGGAGCCCGAGGCGGCGGCGCCCGCGGCCCATCGCTGGGCCGGAGCTGTGCTCCTCGGCCCGGAGCCTGGACCCGGCGGGGGCGGTGACGTGCCTCTGCCTGCCATTTCAAGGAGGCGGGAGTGAGGAAAAAGGCTTAGGGCCCAGGGGGCGGGGAAGGGGGGCCGGGCCTGGATCGGCGGGGAGGCCGAGCCGGAGGCCCGACGGTGGCTCGCGCTGTCCTGGGGACACGAATCGAACGTTGACGGCGCGGATCGAACGTCGGCGGCGGGTGGAAAGCGGTGCCCGGCCGCGCGCGCGCGGGGACCATGGCGTCGGTGCAGGCGTCCCGCCGCCAGTGGTGCTACCTGTGCGACCTGCCCAAGATGCCGTGGGCCATGGTGTGGGACTTCAGTGAGGCCGTGTGTCGCGGCTGCGTGAACTTTGAGGGCGCGGATCGCATAGAACTACTCATCGACGCTGCCCGCCAGCTCAAGCGCAGCCACGTGCTCCCCGAGGGCCGCTCGCCTGGTCCTCCGGCCCTCAAGCACCCGGCCACCAAGGACCTGGCTGCGGCCGCCGCACAGGGGCCCCAGCTGCCGCCTCCGCAGGCACAGCCCCAGCCATCAGGGACTGGTGGCGGTGTCTCGGGCCAGGACCGCTATGACAGGGCCACATCATCGGGCCGCCTACCCCTGCCCTCTCCTGCTCTGGAGTACACCCTGGGGTCCCGCCTGGCCAATGGACTGGGCCGTGAGGACGCCGTGGCGGAGGGGGCTCGAAGGGCCCTGCTTGGCTCCATGCCCGGCTTGGTGCCCCCCGGGCTGCTGGCAGCTGCGGTGTCTGGCCTGGGAAGCCGGGGTCTGACGCTGGCACCCGGCTTGAGTCCTGCCCGTCCAATCTTCGGCTCTGATTTCGAGAAGGAGAAGCAGCAGAGGAATGCAGACTGTCTGGCAGAACTGAACGAAGCCATGCGGGGCAGGGCAGAGGAGTGGCACGGACGCCCCAAAGCAGTGCGGGAACAGCTGCTGGCGCTGTCTGCCTGTGCCCCCTTCAATGTCCGCTTCAAGAAGGATCACGGGCTGGTGGGGAGGGTATTCGCCTTCGATGCTACTGCTCGCCCACCAGGCTACGAGTTTGAGCTGAAGCTCTTCACCGAATATCCCTGTGGTTCTGGCAACGTGTACGCAGGAGTCTTGGCCGTGGCACGCCAGATGTTTCATGATGCTCTGCGGGAGCCTGGCAAGGCACTGGCCTCATCAGGCTTCAAGTACCTCGAATATGAACGCCGGCACGGCTCTGGGGAATGGCGCCAGTTGGGGGAGCTGCTAACCGATGGTGTTCGCAGCTTCCGTGAGCCAGCGCCTGCCGAGGCCCTGCCCCAGCAGTACCCAGAACCGACTCCTGCAGCTCTGTGTGGCCCACCCCCGCGAGCCCCATCTCGCAACCTGGCTCCTACAGCACGTCGTCGCAAGGCGTCCCCCGAGCCTGAGGGCGAGGCGGCTGGGAAGATGACCACCGAGGAGCAGCAGCAGCAACAGCAGCGACACTGGGTGGCACCCGGTGGTCCGTACTCCGCTGAGACCCCTGGTGTGCCCTCACCCATCGCTGCCCTGAAGAATGTGGCCGAGGCCCTGGGCCATTCTCCCAAGGACCCTGGCGGGGGTGGGGGCCCTGGGCGTGCAGGGGGTGCCAGCCCAGCAGCCTCCTCCACGGCCCAGCCTGCAGCCCAGCATCGCCTAGTGGCCCGCAACGGAGAGGCCGAAGTCAGCCCCACCACTGGGGCAGAAGCTGTTAGTGGGGGTGGTAGCGGCACCGGGGCGACCCCTGGGGCCCCCCTGTGCTGTACCCTATGCCGGGAGCGGCTAGAAGACACCCACTTCGTCCAGTGCCCCTCGGTGCCCGGACACAAGTTCTGCTTTCCCTGCTCACGAGAGTTCATCAAAGCGCAGGGCCCTGCTGGCGAGGTGTACTGCCCCAGTGGAGACAAGTGCCCGCTGGTGGGCTCCTCTGTCCCCTGGGCCTTCATGCAGGGCGAGATCGCCACCATCCTTGCTGGAGACATCAAGGTTAAGAAAGAACGGGACCCCTAGGCCACTACTGCCCCCTGCCTCCTTGCCACCCACCGCTGCTGTGGATAAATTATTCCCTTCCCCACCCAGCCCAGTGCCACCCCCAACTGTGTATATACCCCCTTCCTCATCCCAGATGGGTCCCCTGGGGTAGATGCATTGGGGGGGGGGAGTTCGTGGCTTCTGTTTGAGGGAGTGCTTGGGGGTCCCTTGGCCCCTCCAATTTCCCTCTCCTCTCCTTGGCTTGGCTTTGCTGCTGCTCGTAGTTGGGGGAGAGGTGCACCCCTCCTTGAGAAGGGGCCTCCTGGAAATTTCGCTCTTTATAAACGAAGCAAAAGCATTTTATTGCCCCTCCCCTCCCCTCCCCTTTTCCTCCTTCAATAAATCGAAAGATGGTTTTTTTTTTTCCTTCTTGGTCCCTTAGTTGTGTGAGTTGCTGCGCCCCCTTTGGGACCGAACTGATCCTGCAGGAAGAGGACATTTCGTTGTAGCCTCCAGGTGGCGCTCTTCACTCAGGCGGGGCCGCCGGCTGTCCTTTACAAGTGTTGGCCACTGGTCAAAAGTTCTAGCAATCGGCCCGTTTTCCAGATGACAGAACTGAGGCTCAGAAAGGGGATGGCTTTTGGGCCGGCCAAGTGGCTCAGTTGGTTAAGAGCTCGCTCAAGAGTTTGAGCTCTGAGCAACAGCGGTTGGAGTCCAGCCCAAGCTGAGCAGCCGCTGAGCTGCCAACAGGTAGCAGGATGGCTCAGCTAAAAAAAAAAAAAAAAAGAGATGGCTTTTGCATGGGATCCATAGCTAATCGCAGGAATTGGGTTTCCTTTCTGGTCCATCCCCCCGTATGTACCCAGGATGTAGGGAGAAGAACTCGGTACCTGTGAGGTGGGGGGAGGGGAAAGAGACATCGGGAGGTTTTCTAGAAGGGACGAGTATGAGTTCTTGCTGGGCAAGGAGATAATTAGGCTAGATTGCTAGAGGGACTGCCCAAGGAAAGGAGATTTACCTCCATGGGGTTCACTAACAATGTCTTTTGAAACACTGGCTACTTTCGGCCTTTGGTGGTGCCTGAGAGCGCAAGAGGCGGACTCGTGGAAAACCAGAACTGGACTCCTCGCGCCCACCTTGGGAGACCAGCGTCAACGGCGGCCATCCTAGAACACCGTGACTGGCAGGGTAAAAGGCACTCCCCCCGCGGCTGCCTCTGATGTGCGAAGCCTTGTCCCGCACCTGTCCGGGTGGGCTGTTCATTAACCAGGACTTCCTGCTCGCTGACGTCATGGGGCGGGGCCTGAGCAGGTTGCGGCAAAGCAGGGGTTAAGGGGGGGGGCGGCCCCAGGAGCCCAACCCCCACCCATGAGGCCTCCCCTGCGACACTGAAGTGGGGACTCCGGGGAGGGGGAATGCCAAGCGCTAAGGCTGGTGGATGGACAGAGATGGGGAGTGATATTTCTGCCACCACACAGCACTGTCATACAGCTCTGAGACTCAGTGTTGCCCCAGATCACAGGAAGCCAGGTAGCACGTCGGCTAAATCTGGAAGACCCTAACGTCCTTCCTGAACCATCCTCTTGATCACCTAGGTGGCCCACTCACACACCTTGCACAGACCCACATGTCCCAACTCCCAAATATTAGGGACGGGTGGGGGAGTGGAGGGGTGGTGGTGGTGGTTTGTCCTCCACGTCTGGAGTTCTTAAACCCCCAGCTCTTGAACTGAGGGGTCCCATCCCCTCCCCCAGCCATCCGGTCTCAGGTGTTCAATCACCCCTGGCACTGCCAGCCTGGGCTCTGGGCAGGGCTGGGAAAACCACCCCTGATTAAATACACCCGGTGATAAGCCTGGGGCAAGGGAGACGCTGGATGGAGCTCTGTGCCTGTGCACCCCTCCCAGGCAATCTTGTGGCCTCTCCAGACCCAGCTGGGCAGACCCAAGAGCTGGGTAGCTCCCCCTCCCCCATCCTCAGGGCTGGAGGCCTCCAAACACCAGGGCCCTCAGCCCCAATGGGTGCTAAAGAGCTGTGGAGGACACCTGGTCCTTTAAGAACAGCTGGTGGGTGGGTGGGGGGCAGGGGAGTCACCCCCAGCCTGGCCTGTGTGTGTATTCTAGATAGAGGTTGGGTTAACCATTAACAGAGCAGAAGACCTGACCTGTGTGGGTGTGGGGGCTGGATCAGTCCCCCTCCCCCCAGCACCAGGGTGGGTCCAGAGCAAAAGGGTTCTGGATTTATTTTGGGATCAGTGAGGAGGTGAAGAGGTTTCAAGAAACAGACACAGAGAGACTTAAGGAAAGATGGGAGACTACAGAGGTGGGGAGGAAGTTGTGGAGAGAGCAGCTCACTGAAAGAGATAAGGCAGAAACCTAGAGAGAGAGAGACAAGGAGAGATCAAGAGACCCTCTGAGATGAGGGAGATGAGGTAGAAACAGACAGATGTTCAGAGAAGACGTAGAGAAATATCCAGATACAATAGAGACAGGAGGGGAATAAAGAGCGAATAAGAGAGAGACAGACTGTGAAATCAGGGTAAGATATGGATTTGAACTAGAGAGTTAAGACGTTTCAAAACTCAAAAGTTCTATGAGGGAGAGAGCTCTATGAAGAAGAACGAGGCTCCATCTGTCTTGGTCATTTGTTCTCCATGACAAGGCCTGCCTCACTCCTCTCCAGGTCTCAGCTCAGCTGACACCTCCAGGAAGTCCTCCTTGACTCCTAGGCTGTGCCAGGTGCCTTTTCTGGGCTCTCACAAACCCTGCTCTTCCTTGTGCCAGCCCTGCACATTCAGAATCATCACTGTCTGGGGACTGCACTGTTAGCCCCATAAGGACAGGGCCAGAGCTATCTCAGTCACCATTGTGTCCCCAGCATCACCCAGCACAGGGCTAGTTTAAAGGCTAGATAGATTAATGGGTTCCTTTCCTTCAACAAATTCACCATCCACTGTGTGACAAGCACTGTGGGATGTGCTGTGGATACAACGGGGAATGGAATGCAGCCCCCACTCTCATGGAGCTGATATTCAGGTGAGATATACAGACAAGCCCATTAAATGCGACAGTCATGGAGTGGTAAGTCCTAAGAAGAAAAAATAAGCCAGGGAAAGGAGATAGAGAATGATGGAAGTTGCTATTTTAAAGAGGAAGGCAGGGAAGGGCTCACTGCGGAGATGGCATTAAGAACTGAAGGAAATGAGGGAGTGAGTTAAGGGAAATCTGGGGGAAGAGTACATGCAAAGGCCCTGAGGTAGGTTGGTTTGTTCCAGAAGGAGCCAGGTGGCAAGTGTGGCTATGACAAGAAGGGTTCATAAGAATGAGTTTAGAGGGATTATAAGGGAGTACCGGGGGCCCCGTAGGCCATGGTAAGGACTTTGGATTTTGTTTTAATGAGAACAGGTAGAGGGTTTCAAGCACTGAGTGAGGCAAATAAGGCAGAAATGGCAAAGAATCAGCTGAAATGGACAGCATCTCATTAATTATGTGTTCAGGGCTCAATAGAGGACCTAACACATGTGCCCAATGACAGTGTGTGCACAGTGAATAAGACCCAAACCGACAGAGAAAAAGTCACAATGACATTAGATTGTACGGACAGACTCTCAGGGACAAGCCAAGTTAAAAACCCCGGGGACGCCCAGGGACAGCAGACGCAAACAGACAGCAGCCCAACTGAGAAGTCCCATTTCTTTCACAGCCCTCCCCACCCGGAAAGCTTCCCTGGAGCTGGAAAAATCCCCCAGGCCCCCCTGCCTGCCTTGTCCGTGGCGTGCCCACTCACACCTCAGGCAGAGGAAGCTGGCAGGCCCCACAGGAACCTTTCTGTGCGGGGGGAGTGGAGGCGGGCGGGCGGCAGGGACTAAGGGAGAGGAGTGGCGGGCAGGCAGGCAGCGGGCAGCGGCTACACAAAGGCCCCAGTGTCTGCCCTCCTGCCCCCGGGTACAGATATAAATAATATGTACATATACCATACACACACACACACACACACACCAGCGGGCTGGGGCTGGGAGGCTGGGGGCCACACACTTCCCTAAGGGCCTGGGCATGGCAGAGGTCTGCTTCTGGGGAGGCTGGGGGCTCGGAGACACACAAAGATGGTGGCCGAGACTGAGAAACTTGGGCTGAGAGGGACACAGTGACAGAAGGAGAAAGAGAAACTTACAGAGAGAGAGAAAGAGAGAGAGAAGACCGGCAGAGTCCCAGAGTTAGAAATTGGCATAGAGGGTAGGCTGACTCGAGCACAGACAGATCAGGAAAACAGAGAAATCAAACTTCACTGAGAAAAGACAGAAAAAAGTTAGAGGGTCCGTGACAGAGTGAAGACAAGGGTCATTCTAGAGAAGGGCAGAGAAACCCAAGGGAGAGGAAGTAGGGACAGAAAGAAACAGAGGCCAGCAGACACCCAGAGAGGCACAGAGAGAGAGAGAGAGAGCGCGAGAGCGAGAGAAGCAGACAGACAGGGCTGGGCCAAGGCTAGGGCTTGGGGAGGCTAGTGACCATGGGTTGGGGGAGGGTCAGGGCACATCTCCAGTTTGAGGGCACTGCCTGTGGGGTTCTGGTGCAGCCCAGTCCAGGGCAGGCTGAGGGGCAGGGGCGGAGGTGAGGGAGGTGGCCCTTGGGTTCCGGATCTTGGTGTTTACCTGGGGCAGGCATTGCAAACAGGCGCCGAGCCTGGCCCATGGCAGGAGAGGGTGGGATGGGCTGGGCCCCAGCTCTGGCACCAGTGGGCCTGACACGCCCACCTGTGGCCTGGGTGGTGAGTAACACGGTGACACCTGGGTAGATGGTGACACACAGAAGGACAGAGACAGTGACACATAGAGACAGATATAGGCAGACCCAGAGTGTCAGAGACATAAACAGACCCACAGAACCCAGTGACAAAGACACACTGTAACAGACACAGTGACAGACACACACAGTAATAGACAGCAGGACACAATGATAGGCACAGAGACACAGCAACAAGACACAAACAGTGACAGACAGAGAACACGGTGACAGACACACAGAAGACAACTGACAGAACAGTGACACACGCATACACAGTGACACAAACACAGCAACACCTACAGAAACCCAGTGACAGACATTGTCACAGAGACATACAGGCACAACACACGAACACACTAACCAGAGACACATCACGGAGTTAACACATAAGCTCACAGACACAGTGACACTGACACCAGGATACATGTATGACACCCAGTGACACATTGAAATGGACACAAACATACACACTCCTAAACTGCCCAGTCTCCTGGTTTCTGGAGTGCCACCCTCCTCCTGTAGCAGGTTGTGGCTGGAGTGGGGGTGACTTTGGGAGGGCTGGAGACCCCAAGGCCCCCCACTGTGCTGCTGTTGCCCCTCCCAGGCGCTAGAACAGTACAGCGGTCAAGGGCACTGACTCTAGACCA